CAATGATTTTAACTTTATAAACTTCCCGGAATGAATTATTATCCTTATCTAGCCTTATGTCTGTTTATTGCATCATAGGAAAACCAGCGACACCAGAGGTGTCAAAACATTTATGCATAAATACAGACATGATTAAACTGGAAACTCTGGTAAGAAAAACAATTTCCATATTTTTAATTCTGTCTTGCATGCAACTTTACTGGGAACAAAAAGTATTTTTTTAGTAAGCAGAGGTCTAATAAGCACCTGTCTTATGCTATCTGCAAGTTGGCTGATTTTGAATTATCAGAAAGAACAGCAGTGAAGGGTAAAAAAAAAGACATTTGTTGGCAAGAAAATTATTTATAAAAATATGTCAGATATTTAATCTGACATTTATATTGATGTAAAATCAAAAGAAGCATTGTTTCTGTTAAAACTTTCTGTAAAACAGTTTCTGTATGTAGAAGCATAAACTTTATTGATGCGATAAAGCTCAGCTGATTGTGGCAGCAGCAGAACATTCTTCATTTTCATAGTGCACTATGCCGTCCCCAACAGCATCATAAACCTGTGAGATGAAACCAAACATTAACTTTTATAAAACAGTTATAGAAACAGACTGAACATTTGTACATTTCAAAGCAGCATAAATGCTACCAGAGAGAAACTCCTTTAGAAAAGTTAATCTATTTATTACTCTAATAAATTAGATTTACACAATTTAGGGTCAATAAATCTTTATCTTCTAACACATTTTAAGGAAAAAAGCTAACAAATTTATTTAAAAAAAAATCTATTTCCTAAGATTTCAGAGATATGTAAACTCTACCAAGAATGGACCAAACTGGGTTTGAACCCTGAATCTTTCTTTCAGCAGCTTGTAAATCGGTTGTTTACAAAATCTCAGCAGAGACAAAAGTTGAAAAATTTTTATACCAAATCTTTTTTAAAGCTACAAATTGGAAGCTAAATGTTTTAAGGGAAATGTTTGTCATTTTTGTAAAGGATCTATAAAGATGTTTTTCATGTTTTATTGCTTTACTTACATTAATGTCTTTCTGTGGCTTTTTGCTTCCTGGGAAGGAAAGAAAAATAAAATGATTAACATCAAAATTCTGTAGCTTTGCTCCATTCTGGTCCAGTTTGCTCACCTCTGGTTCTGATGATATCAGCAGTGATTCCAACCATCATGATCAGTACTGTGATCCTCAGAGTCAACATGATGAAGCTCAGAGGAGACCAGTCTGTGGAACCTGTGGATGAGATGGAGCAGAGAAACTGCTGTGTTTGAATTATTTTAGATCAGATTTCAGAGGATT